GAACACTAAACCCAAGTTAAATTTAGAATTCAAGGCTACTACCTTCAGTATCATGGTATGCCTAAATGGTAGGTAAGTTTTCTTCTCTTCTGGAACTATAAATCCTACCTATCTGCGTCACAGGATGAGGCCACCTCCATCTTTTCCTCCGGACTGCTTGGAGTGCTTGGTTCATTTTCTTCAGTTTCTTTTTACTACCTTAGTCCCTTCGGATGTCAGTATGAGCCATGTATATTAACTAAGCCCTTCGAACACTTTCTTTTCATTTGAATTGGACTTCCTAGTCTCAGCCCTATGTGCCAATCCTGAAAGTTTGTTAGGGATGTTAAGCCCTTATGAGCTAGCCCGAGGCTAACTAAGAGAGGGGTGAATTGGTATTTTAAAAATCTTTTAATCAAAAATACAATAACATCCAAAACCAAAATTCACCATTAAGAAAATCAAAGTGCAAAAAATAAATGTGGAAGCAAAAAAAAAGAACATAGAGATTTATACTGATTCGATCAACACGACCTACGTCCACTCCCCGGAGGCGCCCTCAAAATATTGCACTAAAACTTAGTGACTCTCCTTTTGCTCCCAAAGAAAAGCGGAGAAAACTATACAAACCTCCTTTCCACCAACCCACGTGAGGCAGAGAACCCCTCCTTTTGCTAACTCCTGAAGCTGGCAGAGAACGCAACTCCTTTTGCTTCCTCTTGAAGCAGGCAGAGAACTTTGATCATATGCTGAAGCTTACCTCTCAAGAACCCCCATGGAAGAAGAAGATGTAGATCAAAGCTTTGAACAACCTTTGTGAAACCCTCTCACAAACTCCCCCTCACAAGATCCTCTCTCTCTCTCTCTCTCTCTCTCTCCCTCTCTCTCCCTCCTCTAGGCTCTCTCAGGTCAAGACAGCAGCAAAAGATCTACTAAAGGATAGAACAAGAGCTCTTAAATAGAAGAGCTTCGGAAAGCTCTTATTTTATACAAACTGACTTTATCATTCAGGCTGATAGGGATATCATCCTGGTCGATCAGCGTAAATTTTGCTCAATCAGCCCGGTCAGTTTGGGATGATTAGAAGAATTTTGATCATACGTCCACGCCGATATAATATAATCCTGGATGATCAGTACAATTCCATGAATATCGTCCAGACAATCGTTCTTAAAGGATATCTGGATGATGAAAAATTAGCTTGATTGTACAGGCTGATCTCTCGATCGTCCTGGCCGATTAGCTCAAATCCGAGGAAAATCATCCGAAACATCACTCTGAATAGAAGCTGGCTGATGTCAATCGTCCAAACGATCATCCCGGATGATCCTGCAATTGTCCCGGACGATGTGATCAAGCAATCAAACCTTAATTGATTTCCTTAATTAATTTAGGCATAATTGAGCTGCATCGTCCAGATCGATATTCTCGAGATGTCCAAAAATAAATAATACCTAAATAGATCTTGCAGTTGATTCTTTCTGATTTGAGCCTATCATACCGGCCGATACGAAGGTTGTCCAGGATGATGTGATTAATGACGACTGTCTTAACCAGGATGCCCTAATTAAGATTTCTGTTTTAAGCTAATCGTCAAGGATGATTTTAGGATCGTCCCGGACGATTGGATCAAAATAGTGAACTCTAATCAACAGACATAAATTTTCCCCCATGTGTGTGTGCAAGGTTACTTAGCATTAGAAACCACATTTATTACAAATAGACTCAAGAATGAAAAAGGTTTACAAATTGACTCAGCCTAATCTACACAATATTGAGCTGGTTCAAATTACAGTCTTGATCTTGTGGACCTAAAATATTAATATGCAAGGCAATCGTAGTAAAATAGAAGTATTTGCAATCATCAATATTCTATTTCTGAAAATAGAGACGCAACAATCTCCCCCTTTTTTATGATGACAAACACACAAATTAATTAAAATAGTTCAAGTCAATTTTAAAGGAAATGAGTAAGGAAACAAATCATAAACACAAATTCAATAGATCAACTAATCGACATCATAACAAACTAAAATAATGAAACAAACTAAAACAGTACAAATTAGTATAGATACTCCCACTTTTATCATCACTAAAAGGAGGAGAAAATAAAAAAACTGCAAAGCAGAAAAGGACTAAAACAAGAAAAATAAAATCACAAAAACACACTAAAAGAAAGATGGGTCCTGATCATCTAAAGGAAGAGGTGGTGGTGGTGGCTGCTGAAAATAGCTAGACAAAGTAATGAACTGTGCTCCAAACCAGGCCATGTCCTAGTCGTGCTGTTGTTGTTAGTGTATAAAGCATGCTAAGTCCTCAGCATGTTGCTGCTCTTATGCAACAACAAAAGTCTCGAATCATGCCTCTCACTGGTCGAAATGCTCGACCAGCTCATCTAACAGAGAGTGCTAGTGAAGTGGTGCAGGTGCAAGAACAGGTGGGGGAGCCTCCTCCTCCTCGGCCCCCGAGCATCCTCGTCCCCCGAGTAGAGACCAGTACTGTGAAGGACATTGAATGAATTATTTGAATTAAAGGCGGGTTGATAGTTAAGAGGAGCAGGATATTGGATTTTATATTTTGATTCTAAAACATATGTAATGATATGTCCTAGGGCAAGATTTAGCTTCCTCCTATGACCTGGATGTTGAATTGTAGTCAAGTGCTCGATGTAACGAAAGATCAGGTCGGTTGCATTGAATTCTTGATGGGCCATAATGTAAAAAGTGGTGAGTGAAAGAAGGGGAGTGATATGGACTCGATCAACAGCTTTGGGAATAACAGAAGTGCGAAGGACGTGCTGGATAATCCTAGCATCTTTAAGTAAACAGCTAGTCTCTCCAATATGAAAGTGGGCATTAGAGTTGCGGAGAAAGTGATTGGCCAGAGCCCAGTCAAAATAAGGATCAAAATACATAGTATGGAGTTTATCCCCTATGGCGGAGAGTTGTAGGAATTCTTGGCAATCCTGATATGTGATCTCGACGGGGCGTCGATTCACATATGATCCAAGAGAAGTGAAGGAAGAATTTATTCGAAGGTTTGCGAAGAATTCAAAAAGAAGCTCTGAATTGCAGGGGATTACAAGAGTGAGAATGAAACACGAAGATATGTGAGAGAATAAGTCAAGTACCATATAGGAAAGGTGGTTTGGGTTGATCAGCCGGGAAACAGTAATGCTAGCCGTCTTGTACCGTTGATAGGCGGCTTGATCGTCCACCTCCATAAATCGAGGGTCCAAAGTTGCCCTCGAGAAACTTCCAGAAGGGTGGCGAGATTGCTTGCCTCTTGCCATGATCACGAATAATAAGAAAACAAGAAGTAGAAAGCTAGAAGAAGGAGATGGTGTGAGAAAAATGGCTGAAGGGCTCTGAATTTAAAGAATCGACCCGATCATCCAGAACAATTGCAGAATCTTCCAGGCCGATCAGGTACATTAATGACGTCCAGGCTGATTGGTCAAAAAAATGGTCGTATCGTCCAGGCCGATCAGATATCGTCCGGGATGATAAGACTCAGGCGATCGTCCCGAGGAGATAAGTTAGACGAGCATTAAAAAAGTATATTGTCCTGGCCAATCAGGTGGATCATCCAGGATAATGCCCAATAATGGATCGTACTGGCCGAATTTAGAAACATTTAAAACATTGCCACGTGTATCGTCCAGGACAAACAGGTGGATCGTCGGGCCGATCATCAATAATTGATCGTATTGGCCGAGTTTAAAGTGTTTTAAAACATATTGCCACATGTATCAGCCAGGCCGAACAGGTGGATCGTCCTGGCCGATTTTTCATAAATTGAGAAAAGAGAGAATAAAATTGTCCAGGAGAAAGAGAATCATCCAAGACGATTACAAATGATTGAAGCATAAATATGATCATATCAACCAAACCGATAATGCATCGTCTAGTACGATAAAGAGCAGAAAGGTCAGAACAACCAGTAGATGATTTTAAAAAGTGATTTGAACCGATCGTCCAAGACGATGGGAATATAGTTCGGGACGATGTGACAAAAAAGTTGATGGATGGAGATGATCAAACAAGGCCCAAAAATAATAAAGTCAACTGAAAATGATAAAAAATAAGATATAAAAATGAACAAAAAATAAAGAATTCTTTTTTAAACAAGGCATGAATATGACATAGTTTTCATGTGATTGATTTTAAAGACTTGTAAGTCAATGAATTAACATCATCGAAATCCAAAAAAAATGGTAACGCAACCGATCCTGTTATTTCTAATTCGGGCTTCTCCCAGGGCAAAACTTCTTTTGAAAACAAAGATCTAAATCAGACGAATCAATTTGATGATAAAAAAAATCCATTCAAAACTTGGTTTTAGAAAAATATTTTATAAAATAATATATCAAAGTAATTAGTTACATAAAGAATCCAGAAATCAAATCTTTGAAAATATCAAGTGACACATGAATTCTTCTAAGATTTAAAAATTTTGAAAGGGAAGAAGCTTGCTTTTGATTGGCTCATTTTATGCCTCTTATTAATTTAATTGGCGCACTTTGCGCATCTTTTAATTTTTGATACACTTTGTGTATAAAATTTTTTTTAATTTGGTGACATTGCACATTTTTTGATTTTGGCATCATTGTCACTTTTTTTATTTAATTTTGCAAGCTATGTATCTTTTTCAAAATTTTTAAATACTCTCAGTTGTGATTATATCTTCTAGATATTAGAGAAGAAAAACTCACTCTAATAAGAAATAATGAATCGTAAAGCAGAATCAAAAATTATATGATAAATGCAATGACAAGATTTCAAATATTTGAAGATAAAATGAAGACTTTAAATATTATATATATAAGATAGATGACTGAAGCAAGATTGAAAAATATCTTAATTGCATAGTCCAATTATTGATTTGAGATAGATTTTTTTTTTTTTTGGAAAAGAAAATCATACCACTAAAATATGTTAGAGAAAGAGACACAATCAACGGTATTTTTACCGTTTAATATATTAAGAGATGTAAAATATTAACTATAAATTTTCAAAAACTAAAATAAGACAAAAATATCATTTCAACTAAAAAAGGAAAACCAAAAACATCTGAGATATAACTACTAAAGAACAACATCAAACATAATAAACTAATAGAAAATAACAACAATCAACATAGTAGTAGATAAGCAATTCAAAATTTATTAAGCAGCAAATTTAAGCAATTATGAGCCATGAGCCTCCGTTGTCCAAGTAACTTATACTCTCACAAGGTCTTTGATGAGAGCTCACCTACAAAAATCATCAACAATCAGATTTAGGAACCCAAACATGTTTGGGTCCCTTCTTATGAAAAGAAAAATGCAATGTATTTGTGTTATGCTGTAAATCATGCAATTTTAGTCTCCACATCCAATGTGCACTATGATGAATGGTGCAAGTGTGTTTAATGTGTCCTAGCATGTCACATGAAAAACATCTAACTCTAGTAAAATGATTTACTAATCTATTTGGGTTATAATACATCTTCCTAGGTTTTGGCTTTAGATTAGGTGTTGATGTATTCCAATTTCTCTCAAGTGTATTCAATTTAGCTTTTATCCTAAAGTTAGCACTTTTAAATCAGCATTATCAACTCTCAAATTATGCTCCCTATGCTCAGATTTATCAATGTATATCTTAAAATCAAATTCAAGTGACGAATAGGATGCTTTCAATGAATCGCTCAATAACCAACTCCAAGTACTTTTTATTCAATTCATTAAACTTATCAAATAAATACATGTGATTGCTATCAATTTGGAAATTATCTTTCATCAAAACTTTATTCTCTTTTTAAAAATTCAAAAACTCTAATTTCAAGCTAACATGCGTTTTCTTAAATTTTATATATGATGCATGAATTTTCTCATAAATTTCAACTAATTGATTATAGGTTGGTTCTCATACCTCTTCTTGATCAGATTGTTCATGTTGATTATCGGCCATTAAACATAAGTTCTTAGTTTCCTCCTCTGCTTCAGTCTCATATGAGTTAGATGCAGAATCCGCCCATAAAGCTTTTTGGGATCGCTTATTGTCCTTCCTGTATTTGGGTTTTTCCTCACCATTCTCCTTGTTTGGGTGCTACTTAAGAGTAGGACAATTAGTTTTAACATGTCCAGGCTTCCTGCATTCAAAGCAAACAACATCAGAAGAACTTTTATAATTTTTACTATCCTTACCTTTTTTCCACTTCTAATGGTCTTTTTGCTTCTTCCTTAAAAAGCTTTTGAATTGCCTAGTGATGAAGACAACATCATCATTTTCATATCCAAAAGGATCAGTGTTCGTGTTGTTGGCTTTTAGTGCCATAGTTTTTTTCTTTTTTTTTCTCACATGCATCAAGATTTCTTTGATTCACTCCTTGCTCATAAGCAATGAGTGATCCAACCAAGTTATAAATCGAATAAGTGTTCAAATCTTTAGATTCAGTAATTGCAGTGATCTTAACATCAAAAGAAAAAGGCAAGCATCTCAAAATTTTATTAACCCTTTCATAATTAATTAGCTCTCTTCCTAAAGCATGCAATGAGGTGACAATTTGAATAAACATTGTATACATTTTAGAAATTATTTCAGAATGTTTCATATGAAAAAGTTCGTAGTCATGCAAAAGAATATTCAATCGAGATTGTTTAACTTCATTAGTTCCTTCATAAGTTACACATAATCTATCAAAAATTTCTTTATCAGTTGCACAAGTTGAAACACGCATATAATCTTCAGATTTCAAAGCACAGAAAAAACAGTTCAAGCATTTTGTATTAAGTTGTGTTAAATCTATTTCAACAAAAGTTCATTCAGTAAAAGGAATTTTAGTTTTAATGCCATTAAGTTCATGAGAAGGTGGTGTATAACCTTCTTTAACAAGCATCCACATACGATAGTCGATCGATTGTAAAAATGTAGACATACGAGTTTTTTAAAAATCAAAAGGAATATTTTCAAACAAAGGTGGACGTTTAATAGAATATCCTTCCATTGTGTTACGATTACCAAAGTTATCTATGAATCAAAATTCAAAAAAAATTCAAACTTAATTTTATGAATCCCACTCTGATACCACTTGAAAGTTCATTAGGGATGTTAAGCCCTTATGAACTAGCCCGAGACTAACCAAGAGGGGGGTGAATTGGTATTTTATAAATCTTTTAATCAAAAACACAATCACATCCAAAACAAAAATTCACCATAAAGAAAATCAAAGTGCGAAAAAATAAATACGGAAGCAGAAATAAAGAACACAAAGATTTATAGTGTTCGGTCAACACGACCTACGTGTACTCCGCGGAGGCACCCTCTGAGTATTGCACTAAAACTTAGTGACTCTCTATTTGCTCCCACAGCAAGGCGGAGAAGTCTATACAAGCCTCCTTTCCACCAACCCAGGTGAGGCAGAGAACCCAACTCCTTTTGCTTCCTCCTGAAGCTGGCAGAGAACCTAACTGCTTTTGTTTTCTCCTAAAGCAGACACAGAACATTGATCAGATGCTGAAGCTTACCTCTCTAGAACCCCCAACGACAAGGGTCTATGATGGAAGAAGAAGAAGTGGATCAAAGCTTGGATCAACATTTGTGAAACCCTCTCACAGACCCCCTCACAAAATCATCTCTCTCTCTCTCTCTCCCTCTCCTCTAGGCTCTCTAAGGTTAAGACAGCAGCAAAAGATCAACTAAAGGGTAGAACAAGAGCTCTTAAATATAAGAGCTTCGGAAAGCTCTTATTTTATAAAAACCGACTTTATCGTCCAGGCCGATAGGGATATCGTCCTGGCATATCAGCGTAAATTTCGCTCAATCAGCCCAATCGGTTTGAGACGATCAGAAGAATTTTGGTTATATCATCTAGGCCAATATTATATCGGCCTGGACAATCAGTACAATTTCGTGAATATCGTCCAGACAATCGCTTTGAAAGGATGTGTGGACGATGAAAAATTAGCTTGATCATCCAGGCCGATCTCTCGATCGTCCTGGCCGATTAGCTCAAATCCGAGGAAAGTCATCCTAAACATCGCTCTGAATAGAAGCTGACCGATGTCAATCATCCAAGCGATCGTCCCGGACGATCCTGCAATCGTCCCGGACGATCCTGCAATCGTCCCGGACGATCCTGCAATCGTCCCGGACGATGTGATCGAGCAATCAAACCTTAATTATTTTCCTTAATTACCAAATTAATTTAAGCATAATTGAGCTGCATCGTCCAGGCCGATGTCCTGGACGATGTCTAAAAATAAAGAATACCTAAATAGATCTAGCACCTGATTCTTTCTGATTTGAGCCTATCGTCCCGGCCGATAAAAGATCGACAAGGACGATGTGTTTAATGACGGCTGCCTTAACCAGGATGTCCTAATTAGGATTTTTGTTTTAAGCCGATCATCCAGAACGATTTTAGGATCGTCTCGGATGATTGCATCAAAACAATGAACTCTAATCAATAGACAGAAATTTTCTCCCATGTGTGTGTGTGCAAGGTTATTTAGCATTAGGAACTACATTTATTACAAATAGACTCAAGAAAGAAAAAGGTTTACAAATTAACTTAGACTACCCAATCTTGAGCTGGTTCAAATTGCAATCTTGATCCTGTGGACCTGAAATGTTAGTAGGCAAGGCAGTCGTAGTAAAATAGAAGTATTTGCAATCATCAAAATTCTATTTATGAAAACAGATACGCAACAAATCCCATTTTGAAAAGGATAATGTAGGATCTTTAATCAAGAGTTTTCTTAGGTTCCGACCTAATATGTAATTAATCACAGGAGCTTGCACCCGTGGAAAACTGAATTCCACCATCTAATAAACCCCACTCGAGTTATTGTATCGGGTGGGAAAAATCAGTGATTGTGATCAGGCCATGCATATTATTATCCATCGAGGTGTATAGGCGAGAGCTGTTGTTCTCCATAGTTAATCGTATGTAGGGTCCAATCTGCCCTTCCATTGGCCCATTTGCGAGTAGTGCGGAGGCCTGTGATCGTCTCTATCCCTCGAGATAGGTGCAGTCGTATACCCCTCTGCAATCCTGCAGCCGTAGCAGTGCCATTTCGGATGTCCACAATGGGGTTAAAGAATCACGTTGGTATGACACCTTTGTATTTAATGTATATAATATTAAAAAAATGAAATTATATATCATATATAAGTTAATTTAATATTTTAAAAAAATTATATTAAATTAAACTATTTAAATACATTATAATTGAACCGGACAGTTCTTAAGAATCCGATCGGTTCACCGGTCGGCCGGTTCAACCGGCGGTTGAAACCAATTTTCACCAATTTGATGTTAGACCAGTTTCTTAAGAGGACTGAATCGGCCTTAGGACTGGTTCATGATTGAACTGGTACAACTGACAGGTCCTATTTTCAAAACCATGATGATAAGTGTTATCAATCATCTTGCCTAATTTTTAAATATGCAATTTTATCAATTAAATAGCATTTTTTTTTAATAAAGCCTTTACATAGATTCCATAAAAGAAGAAGTTTCAGATCCATATAAGAGAATATAAGTTGAGTTATTAATTTGATTTAAAAATCACGTACGAATTACAATTAATTAGAAAACATGAATGTTTTGATATTATGTTTCAAGTTAGTAACATAATATCTAGATATTATGTTAGTTCATTATCTAAGTAATAATATTACAAACATGCTCATAATCTTGTATGGGATCAATGAGAATTACTAAATTATGGCTAGTTTTCTATGTTAATGTAATTAAGTTTTACATTTTATTAATAATCATTATTGAAAATAAAACGTAAGATAACTAATCATATCTCTAACACATATCTATAAATATTTAATAATAAATCATAATAATAATTATAGAATAATCATTCAAGTGTAATTTAATTTATAATGATAAGGGGAAAACTAAAGATTGCGTGAACCATTGAATTAATCATATAAGAATAGATAGATATACATTCATGCAAGAGAATCATAAAGCCTAAAATGGTATATAAGACCGATTGACAATACAAAGTGTAATCATTAATAAAAAAATATTATAGCGACTCTAAACAAGATTAAAAGCTTATGAAGAGATAAATGCCAGTTGAAAAACATGATTTGACGGTTATCTAATAAGATCAAATGAATAAATAACAAGATCTATGTATCTTGATTATTGCTAATAAGTCAATGTTAGTCACAAGCCAGAAGAGAATGCTTCTCAGGTCAAACCATGTGAGAACTAAGACTTTTCGTTTGGGACAGCTTTCATGCTACTTTATAAAGTAGCTATTTAGTACAAAAAAAAATGAAAAAAAAAAATTGTATTATAAAGCTGTCCAAAATGAAGCCTAAATGCAGGAAAAAAAACCATTTTTATCTTTGAAATGAGAAAATCTATGTATTCTACAATAAATAAAATTATTTATCATGACATCTAATTGAAATTTTGATTTAAAACTAAATCATGATAAAACAATAAGACTAATTATCTTAACATGGAATTTACAAGTTATGAACAATAAAGTTAAGTCTATGCTAAAATAACCAAACTATCTAGAGGCATGAATTGTATGATATTTTCATAAATGAATAATATATATGATCTAAGTCCAAATAAAACAGGTATTCGTAAACATAAGATCATCAAAAGCATAAATAGACTAGCTAAGTACGTATGAAAATTAATCTAAAGACCAAAAATAAAGCAAGACATTAGATCTTTATCAACTGATTTTACCTAATATCATGTCGTCCAAACTTACAGATTGGATGTCCACCATAAGTTGATTAATTTTTATGTCTACTCTAAATCTGCCCCAACTTACCTTTATCTGTCCTCCATGAAGAAACTACTTCTTTGATTTGGGTATCTAAATAAGTTAAACTCCACTAAAATTAGCATCAAAAGAATACAATGCTTGTGTAAGGTGGTGAATGCAGAATAGTTTATTCAGGAATCCAAAATGAAACTATAGAAGCTGTTCATAGATTTTCTGAAAAAAAACACATGTATGCTACATGTTCATCCTTACCACAGTATGTCAATTGAATATTATGTAAGCATGCATTAAAGATTTTACAATTCTACTATACTTTGTAGAATGAAATATAGCATGCACATAGGATTTACAATATGAATGTGAAGCATGCATACATGTAGAGGTACGGCAAAACATAAAAATGCTAGTAAAAATTTAATTAAACAAAATTTATATCATTTAATTTTCGCTTTAAACTACCTTTATTATTTTCCAAATAATTAATTTGAGAGCATGCAATAATCAGCATCATAATTTCAAGTAGAAAATACGCATTAATAAAAAAAACTCTAATAAAGTTAATTTTTTTAATTGGCACATTTTCATAATTTTCTGCTCCCATGTCATGTTTCAATTTAATAAAAGGCAGCAGGTTGGAAACAAGCTCAACCTCACCCAACTAAAACACACCCAATTTCATTCCAGTTGATGACAACTCCGGATAAACTCATGCTAGTTTTCTCATTCATCCATTTGTTTTGGACATAATCCATCTTCCCATGTTCATTCTCAGTTTACTTAGCATTGTAATTGTTAAGTAAATAGAAGTCTCTCGTATGAACCACAATTTTTTAAATTTATAACAAAAAGCAATACTAGTGAAGACGATTTTCAGCGAACAAAGTTCTTCAGATGCTCACAAAACTTAGTATAGGGGAATCTGATTTTTCTGTACAACAAGAATAAAATAGTCGTCAGATCAAAGTATATGCAGTTATTGAAAACCAGAGTAAATGCTCAGGACAGAAACACGGAGGCAGCTTCAATCACACCTGCTGGCGACCTCCACTTGAATATCAAACAACTTGGTAAATGTCGGTGACTAGTTGTATCCTCTGAGCATACTTCGGGGTAGCACCTCCTCTTAAAGGAATCACATTCACAACCTGCAGCAAATTTACCGAGTCATGGGACAGAATATATGAATATGCTTCATAATAATATACAAAGCATTAACAACAGCTCCGGATGACTAGATAGCAACGTCCAAAGTCCATTTTCTAAGAGACACTACTTGACTTGATGAAAATATTAGGATAGGAAATGATGCCTTCGCAAAGCGGTCTAGGCAGTACAATATGTACTCGATAGATGAATACAGAGACACGGTAGGTTCAAGCAGTTAGTCCATAATTAGCTTGCAACATATATGTTAACTTACGGGTAGCAGTTAAGGGAGGCATTCTTCGAATTGACATGTGAAAAAAACATTTTTTCTTCCATCAATGTAATTTGATGAGACTTCGAAGAATAAAATATCAAATTTATCTACAGGAAATTGTCTATTTACATAAGAAGCCAACCATAAAACAAGAAAAGTTTCGGATATCAGCTTTCACTGAATTCATATACAGACAATTTCTTCATAAATGGATCGAAATGTCAAAATTTGAGGAAGTAGAAAGGATCCAGTTCACATTATTTTCCTAACCTTTCTCTCTTTTTCTTTTCTGTAAGTACTATTTAGCATTATCTCTAAAATGATTGAGCTGCTAAATTAGTCAAGACAGGCAGGAAACTAGGAGCTCAGGATTTAAGGTAACAAACCTTTACATCACTAAATGTTTTTGCTGCAGTAAATCCGATGGTGATGGGGAAGAAAGCAGAAGGGTCAGCTGAAGGCACAACGAACTCCATTGATCCACTATTAAGGATAAAAAAAGGTATTGAAAAAGCAAAGGCAATTTTTTTGTGGTACTGGATTGGATGACTCATACCTTCTATTAGTGTTGTCAATAAGAAGAATCGACCACTCCAATGCAGATGACCTAGCATCATACCTACAAAAAAATATATTAAAAGAATCAAATGCATGAGAAAATAACTAGAATATAAATAAATAAATAAATAAACTAGAATAAAATAGAAGATACGCCATGATATGACAGTCACATAAAGGAGGTTGACAAAAACTCAGAAGAAATTGACAACCATCCAAAACTGAGAGTAACAAACATGTGAAACAACGTAAGAAAATAAAATCTTTGTTGGCAATCAAAAGCGTGAACTAATTCAACTTTCTCTTAATTGATCATCATGGCATTTAATATTTTCTACTTATTTCAAGCCACCAATTATGCATTAACATACAAAAATAATCTAAAAAGAAATATCAATACCTCCATTCACCATCAATCTGCAACACATTTGGTGGCTCCCGAACTGCAGGAAGAGGAACGGATATCACCACATTTTGCAAGTCAAACCTCTCAGTAGCTTCATACTCTATGTTAACAGAAGTCTCTCTTCCAGAAACTGAAGGCCAGCAATTAACTGCATGATAAATGCAAATGAAGTTAAAATAAATGTAAAAAAAGTTAAATAAATTTATCGATTAGTTATCAGATATTTTAATTTCTTCAAATAAGCACACCAGTCAACGGCAATGAAGACTCGTTCATGCCCTGGATTCTCCACTTCATCAGGCCAACATCATTTTGACCAGTGGGGAATGGTCTATTTGGATCCTTCAAGCCAATAATATGGCGGTTATTGAATAGTTCCTTGTTGATGTTAGGATGGGTTTTAAAGTTGAGGCCAGGTATGTCTTGGTTTTCAATCTGCAAAGATCGTGATTTTCAAGTCAATAACTTAGAAAACAAAAAAAAATTGGCTGCAATTGAAATGACAACGACAGAAAATAGATGGATTCAATAATATGCTCCTATAGATATCAAATAAGAAAGGGAAAAAAAAGGAAATGGCATCCCTCTTGATAATAACTACACCAGCAAAAGAAGACAATCCCCACCATCATTACTTTCTCAATCTCTGTCATGCTATGTTGCACCGATACACTTATTTACGAAGGCGTGTTGTATCGGATACAGGTATGTCTTGGTTTTCAATCGTCAAAGCCATATCCAATTAAAATACTATTTAATTTCAAAAGGACACGCGTATCGGATACGCATGTCCGTTGAAAGACAAAAAAATACGAAAAAAGACACATCATATTTACTTCCGTGACTGTGAGCAAGGTTCTCTCATTTCGAACCCGCGAGACATTTACATTGATGTTAGTTTACTAGAAAATATGATAGTAGGGCAGTCGGGTTAACATATATGTTGGCAATTGATTGGCATGAGCTGTGGATAGTCTGTATTTTTTACAACCTCCTCAAACATGTTCTGTTGGCAAGTTGATGGCATGTCAACTTTCATTGCTTGTGTGGTTTAATATATTTGCTTGCATGTCGATGTTTATTGCAAGACGTTATTGTATTCATTGTCTGTTGCCTGCTAACATATTTGTCTGAATTATTGTGTACATGACGGATTTTCTACAATGGCTTGCAGCTGTTTACTTTTGTTGCATGTTGCATGGTGTATGTTTATAGGATATTCGCCATACAATATATCCAATGTTATTGTTTGCAGACAAATCAGTGCGTTCGTCAATGATTTGTATTAGTGAATCACCGCATCTACTTGCATATCAATTCCCTTTGTTCAAAAAGGATCATTGCTTCTGTTCGCAAGTCAAATAACAATAGCAGTGAACATGCTGCATGTACTAGCACATTCATCAGAAGTTCCTCTGGCAGTTTTAATATGTTCATTAGAAGTCTTTCTTTGCGAGCTAACACTTTCATCGTGTGTATTTTGTGATCATTGCCATTCATGTTGTGTGCATCATAGATCCATTTGTTGTTTGATGCGTTTACTTCTGATTTGATCATGTTTGAAGGTTTCCCACTACGAGTCACCTATTTTTTATTAATTTCATTTGAATGACAAGGACTATTAATTAGCACTTGTATTTCCAATTTGATTGTGTATTTATTAATTTAATGTCCGATTTCCTAAGATTGCAAGTTCTGTTCCCTATGATTTTTTTTCAAATTAGGTCCCCTGTTTACTAAAAATTTTGGTAGCCTCCCGACACTTCCCCCATTTATGGGAAATTTAGGGAGACTTGGCCTGCCCACCACGTCAAAAAAAGATGTGTATGGTTCGTGTCAAGCGACACCACAGCCGTGGTCTTCAATCCCACCATACCAGAGAGAGGCATGTATGGGTCTTTAAGGATACATATTTGAAGGATTTGCAATTTTTACCCACAAGCATGACAACACATGCACGGGTACTTAAGGTTGTCCCCGACACGCACGAGGATCAAGCACAAAAGTTTTCTTTTCTTTTTTTTTTCCTTTTTTTTATTTTTCTTTCTTTTTCCTTTTCTTTTTTTTATTTTTCTTTTTTTTTAGCTTTTTGGTCTCCTTTCTTCCTTTTCTTCTTTTACTTCTCTTTTCTTATATATATATATATATATATATATAGAGAGAGAGAGAGAGAGAGAGAGAGTTGTTTTGGTTGGCTGATGTGGATTTGGAATAGTGGGTTTTGCTACTTGGAAAGATTAAGGTGTTGTTTGGACACAAGTTTGATGGGTTGAGGGGAAGTGTTAGGAGAGGGGCTGGTGGGCTTTTGAAGTGGGCTAAAGTTTGGGTTGATTGAGTTGCAGGTTGTGAGGAGGGGATGAGGAAAAATGGGCTCAATTGGATGAAGGAACTTGTAATTGGGATTCGACATAATGAAGAGATTTGACGTGAGTGGATTTGTCGGATAGGATAGAGAGAATCGGAGGTTAGTCTAGATTGGATGTTTTGATTGGGCCGATTGGAGGCCTGGATCGGGTGGTGAGGTGGTCGGATATAGGGCTGGGAGATTCGGCGGTCTGCAGAAGTTTGGTTGGAGGTTTTCTAACGGATCAGAATTATGAACTTGAAGAGGGGTTTGGAGTGGGATGTTGTTATTGGATTCATCTGTGAAGAAGGGAGGTGTTTTAAGGATTAGATCGGCACAAGAGTTCTAAGGTCAGTTGGAGGGTTTGATTGGGTTGATCAACCTTGACTGAGATCGGATGTTGAATCGGATCGAGCAAGTGTGGCTTTGGCAGGGAAGTTGTAGGTTCTATTGGGTAGATCGACGGGAGATCTAGATGCTGGAGAAGTCGGGCAAAGCCAAATGTAGTTGTATCGGGTGAGGTTGGACGAGCTCGAGGTGGATGTGTTAATTGGAGAGCTCGATAGCAGACAGGAGTTGGGTCGGAAGGGTAGAAGTAGAAGTCGAAGGCTTCGTTTCCTCTCAATTTTAATAAGCAGTTAAATGATCGAGGCAAGGGATTTACGCCAATTTCCAAGAAATGATGTAAACGATGACTAATTGTATGAGGTATGCAGGATTTGAGCAGAATTTGCATAGTTTTTCCTATGAATGTATGGAGTTTAATAAATAACCCCCAATAAATATGGTACGCGTCTAGAGCAAACAACGTTTGTTGCAACCATAGTTTAAAATTGCGCGTCCGTGAGGCTTACGCCTCACACCGCCTCAAGGCTTACGCCTCACCTCACAGATGAAAAACGCCTCGAGTCTTATTTATGCAATTTTAAACCCTGGTTACAACCTGGTTGACCCTATGGATCTCTAAATATTTAGTTTGGATATCGCACAAAGGATTTCATTTTGCATATTTCTGGGAGTCTGTGACTTGGCGTCATTACAATTTGGTCTTTATAGATATTTAGATGCACTCATAAATAATAATAAAGTTGACGTGTTGGCTTCAGTCAAGTAAGGGCCCTTAGAATAGTGACAAAGTATTTCATACATAGCTCCCTAAAGCATTACTTCATAGATTAACGCTGGTAGATAGCTTCACCATCTTTTGTTCTTCTTTTGCCACCACTATCACCTTAATTTCCAGTATTTTCGCATTTGTTCGATATTTATCATTATTGCAATCATATATAAATATAGCATTTCGGTTATATAATTACAGTTGTCATTACGAGTTTGCCCGAGCTTTGCAAATCAACCAATTAGCAGAACTTTACTGTTTCAGGTTTTCTACAATTGCCTTAGGTCAAGTATGCCTTCCTCGTTTTTCTTTAGTTTTTAGCTTCTACTTTTATTTTCATCGCCTCTTCTGCATTTTGATGTTTTGTTACCTTGTGTAGGTCTTTGAAGGAGTAGGATGCTAGCCAGCTAGCTATTATAGGAGACCTAAGCTTAAGTAGGCTTTTTGTTAGTTTGTGTAGCTTTCTCTCTTTCTTTAGTTGTTCACTAGTACCTTTATTACTCTACACAAGATTCAAGAGGAGCGGAACACCAGTTGGTTAGCTGCTACAAGAGACCTTGGTTCAGGCACGGACCCTTTTTATAGCTTTCCCAGTTTTCCCTTTTTTATCATTTCATCGATACCCTAGTTGCTCTCCACAAGTTTCAAGAGTAGGACACTAGTTGGTTAGCAACTGCAGTAGACATCGGTTTAGGTACATCTTTCTTTTTGTAGCTTTACATAACCCTACGTAGTCCTTTCTCTTTCTTTCTATTGATCCTTCTGACTTTGTGCAAGTCCCAGAGATGGAGAGTGCTCGATCTTTGGAAGGAAAAATACAAAGCTGTCAACTTCCTCTTCGAGTATAAATTTGGAGAGACTTCCATCCTTTGTGAAAGGCAATGTGCCCTTTTTTTCCTTTTATTAGCTTATACGAGCAAGTAAAAGAATGAAAATTATAAACTTGCATATAAATTTTAAATAAAATAAAGCAATTTTATACATTCAGTTGTTGACGAGTTATTTTCTTTTTGCTTTTGTGACTTATGTGGTTATTTTGCTCAGAGCCTTAAACGCTCGTTAGAGCAAGCAGTTGCACCCTTTTCACGGCTTTAGCTTGAGTTCTGAGATTTGATTTCTTTTGCCCTATGTTTTGTGCAGCAAACATTGGTAAAGGATTACTTGATTTGTCCTTACTGACTTTTCAAAAGTTTTTTTGTATCTTCTGTCTTCTGCTTCTTGCTTTGGCGTGCTTGACGAAGGAGTAGATATCGGTGACCTAAACCCTTTAGGTTTATATTAGGTCGATAGCGAGGGGTTATTGGTCAAGAGCTTTGTGCATAAAGTACTAATTCATGAAAATATCCTCTTAGTTTAACCTTAGGCTTTATGTGAATTCTAAGATATTTTCTTCGATCCTTTGTTTTGTTCTTTGGTGGACTTGTTGAAAAAAATTCTTTTGATCCTCACTTTGTGCTTTACGAACTTGTTAAAGGATTTACATGTTATAGGTTTAATCGGTAGCACTAAATATAGGTAACACTCTGACCTTTAACCAATCAAAAAGACTTCCAGAAATATGGGTTACTTAAGTTTATCAAATTGGGTGAGCTGTGATTTGATAGCTCATGTTATCTGACTATTAAAATGGGGGTTTCCCTATTACGACCTTTCTTATGGCATGATGAGTAAATGGAGCTACCAGCGACTCGGCCACATCATGGCTTGTTGAGTCCGATCATATATGTCAGTTTAGGATTTAGACTTGAGCTATGGAGAAACGTGATCTCTAAGTTAGATTTGCTAAAGTTTACAAATCTAAAATATTCCTTTGTGGTCTAAGGTCTATGAGCTTACATGCATTCAGTAGCTATCTTGATTGAGAATCGTTCTTCCCACTGTAACCTTGACTTTCTAGTCAATTAGGAGAATTTTTTAAACTACGACTACTTGAAGTTGTTGAGTCAAATAAGCCTTCATTCTTCTACAAGTCCT